GCAAGGCTGGCGCCGCCCTGCCGCCCATCCAGATCCAGTCGCCCAGCATGGGCTCTGTGCTGGACATGCTCAACATCATCAACGGCATCCTCTTCGTCCAGATCAGGTAAGCAGGGGCCCCGACCGCAATACAGTCGGTGCAATCCAGTCCCAGTTTTGTGGACAACGGAACCCCGATCGTCGTCTCATCAGGACACTGAACTCCTCATGCAGAGCATGCCGTACTTCAGCCGTCACCGGCGGGACGCTGAGACATCGCTTTCTCCCCGCAGCCAGCAGGACATCGAGAACTTCAAGGCCGAGTTCGAGAAGCGCAGCAGCCAGCTGCAGACTACGGTGAGCCGCCCGGCGGTGACGGCAGCGCCGGCTCCGGCCGTCAAGGTGGCCGACAGCGGCGCCGACTCTCCGCTCTCCTCTCCCGAGGGCAGCAGATGAGGCCCGCCCGCCGCCGGCCGGCAACGCCCGGCTCCGTACCGGCCCCGGCACTCTAGTTTTGATAGCTATTTTCGAGGCATCGCGTCGTGGTGCGGTTATCATGCATCATCAATCGGCGCGCTCGCGGCGCGTCCCTCACGAAGCGGCCGTGCGCGCGCGCGCCTGTGTTCCAGGGGTGTGCTGAGTAGTGGTGCTGCGCACGGGATGACAGTGCAATGTTGAAGCCGGCCGGCGCCGCCGTCGGCTGGCGCGCCGCCGCTCCGGCACGGCTGTGACGCGCCGCGCCGCGCCGGGCCCGCTGGCAGCGCGCGCCGCCGCTGTCTCGTCTTCCACTGGACGGCGGCGCGCGCGGCCGGTGGGCGCCGCGCCCGGCCGCCGCCGCCGCCGGCGATGTCCCCTGAGCGGACCCGGCCGGCGGCCGAGCGGAGCCGGACAGCGGCGCGTCCGCCGCCGGCGGCCCGGCCGCTCCGTGGCAATAGAGCGGCGCCCGGCCGCGCTCGGGACGTCTCAGGGGGGCCTGGACGCCCGCTGTGTGTGAGTGACGGTGTGCGCGTGTGTGAGAGGCACATGGGTATGTGCCGTGGTGCTATCTGCCATATGCCCAACAATACAACGGTTCGAAGCAGGCCGGCGCGTGGACGGTGCGGCCCGCACAGCCAGCGGGGACCACCCTCGAGGCCAGGCTCCAGGCGGATGTATGGGGACTGCCATGGCCCGTTTGCGACATGTTTTCCGAAAGCGGGTTGGCCGGTATCGGTTACACGAATAGTGGCGTGGCGTAGGCGATGGTACACAGGCCAGCCTGAAGACAAAATGCAACAGCAAAGGTTTCCAAAATGCAACAGCAAAGGTTTCCGCTTATTGGTATCCAAAATTGTGACAATGCATTTTCTTCGACGTCAGCGTCCAATTGTCCGAGCCTGTACGGCAAGACGGTGTCATGCGATCCCATTGCCAATGTCTTGAGCATGCATTTTGATGCTTCCTTTACATAAAGACCATGTTCGAAAATTTTACTTTATTTGTGATTTACAGCTGGGCACATTTTGAAGTCTGCGTCTTGGACCTTCCGCGACGCAGAGAGGACTCTTAAGCACAGCTTACAGGTGTGAGGCCAGATTGCTGATAACATCAAGACCGTGGGCGTGATTGTCGTCAGTGTTGACCGGATGCAGTACATCGCACTGCGCTACACCCCATCACTTTCAGGACCTTTCCAGCTGGTAGTATTGTGGAAGCAGATGAACCACCTTTGGCGCTGGGGACAACATGCGGGCACGCTTCACAGCTGACTCATTACCTCAACGGTTCGACTCAGCAGTTTGTTTTCGCTTCTTACAGGAAACCTTTTTTTGCGCAGTGGAAGGCTGTATAGGAGCCCATTTTGTGTGGAAATGACGAAGATGTTCTGAAGTAGCGGCGTTAGTTTGCGTGGTGTGCCAAGGTCGGGTCACGTGTTGGCCGTGGGAGCTAGTTTTACCAAATGTGGAAATCTCCCTGTCAGGCATAAGTACATAGCACTTGCTGCGCTGCTACGTCAGATCGAGGGCTCCGAAGTATATTGCGTCGTACGTGGACTTCGAAACCACGCATTCAGATGGCTTAATGGGAAAGAGGGAGTGAACTCGACGTTTGCGTGTCAAGCCTGTTTTTTTTTCGCTGCCGAAACGCTTCGGCGTTTACGTTCTAGATGGTCGTAACTAAAAAGGCACTGAGTTGCACCGAAGTCGGCTAGGACTTCCCCCACATGTCCGGCTGTAAGAACACGAAGCTGTAGACTGACGACGTGTAACTACCAACGCCCCTTATTGATAACGTTATTAAGCCTTCTGTCAGCGCTGTACCTTGCGGGGAAGGCCGTCGTTCTTCGTTCGACACCGAGCCCTGTGGGCATCGGATGTAATGAGCCTGCTGACGCGTCCGCAAAGCGAGTAGCGAATGCACCGCCCATACCCTTTTTACCCTTGCTGGCCAGAAACTTTTACCTAGCCATCACGGCCTGAATAAAAGGAAAATGGGAACGCTGCTGGGGTCAGACAGCCAATAAGCTTTAAGCGATTAAGCCACCGTTAAGGCCATGGAAGTAGAAATTTCGGAAAATAAAGCACGAAGAGGCAACCTGCAGAATAAGAATTGGCTATACCTACGCAACATAATAGGACTTGTGCGGCGGAGATGGGCCTGATGCCCTTGGTCCGTAATCATTAATTTCGTTCGCCACTTAATTTACAACGAACACAGTTCAGTGAAGAGGGGTTACTTCATCTCGGACGAGATGCTCCTTGTCTTACCCATTCTGACATTTTTGGTGACGGTTCTTGCTCGCTTGCCCTGGGTCACCTATGTTCCTCTCTAGCGGCAGACAGGATTGTCAGTCATTGACGCCCTTCGGCAGCGGTTTAGCGTTGTGTAAGCGCGGGCATGACGGTCGGCGCGCCGTAAAACGCTAAGCATCATCGATGCAGTGGTGCAGTAAAGTGAACCTGAAATTAGCATGTTCCGGCTATGGGCCAACGGGCGATGCCACTGGCCGGGTGCCCTCCTTCCCGGCGATAACTTGTGGGCCATATCCTTTGACATCGCGATTGCGTCGTATTGAATAGACAGGGCAAGCGACATTAAGGAAGGCCTCAACGCTAAGTATGGTTATAAGGTCCACCAGTCGGCATGCGGACAATCACACCACGATTTATGCACCCTGGGGAAATAATTCATGGACGCTCCTGAACCATAAACGTGCTCTATGATTGTGCATATTCTGATCGCTCCGCGTGCCTCGGAATGACGAGCGTTCAGCTCAACGGCCATTGCAATTGAAAATTTCTAAAAATAAAAAAAACATGACGGTAGCATGCAAAATGAACTGCTATGCAAAACAACGCCATAGCAATTGCTGATGCGCCCTTACGACGCACGTGATGTGGTAGGCCATAAGCGTCGGGCGGCGATGGGACCAGCAATCGACTCATCCGTGACCTGCCCCGACCGTGCGGTGATCAGCAGGCCAAAGAAACACCCCGCCATCTAAACCCTGCAGTGATCAGCAAGCCAAAGGTCCACCCCGCCATCTAAACCCCGCGGTGATCAGCAGGCCTAAGAAACACCCCGCCATCTAAACCCTGCAGTGATCAGCAAGCCAAAAGTCCACCCTGCCATCTAAACCCTGCAGTGATTAGCAGGCCAAAGGAACACCCCGCCATCTAAACCCTGCAGTGATTAGCAGGCCAAAGGTCCACCCCGCCATCTAAACCCCGCGGTGATCAGCAGGCCTAAGTAACACCCCGCCATCTAAACCCTGCAGTGATCAGCAAGCCAAAAGTCCACCCTGCCATCTAAACCCTGCAGTGATTAGCAGGCCAAAGGAACACCCCGCCATCTAAACCCTGCAGTGATCAGCAGGCCAAAGGAACGCCCGCCATCTAAACCCTGCAGTGATTAGCAGGCCAAAGGAACACCCCGCCATCTAAACTCTGCAGTGATCAGCAAGCCAAAGGTCCACCCCGCCATCTAAACCCTGCAGTGATTAGCAGGCCAAAGGAACACCCCGCCATCTTAACCCTGCAGTGATTAGCAGGCCAAAGAAACGCCCCGCCATCTAAACCCTGCAGTGATTAGTAGGCCAAAGGAACACCCCGCCATCTAAACCCTGCAGTGACTAGCAGGCCAAAGGAACGCCCCGCCATCTGAACCCTGCAGTGATTAGCAGGCCAGAGGAACGCCCCGCCATCTAAACCCTGCAGTGATTAGCAGGCCAAAGGAACACCCCGCCATCTAAATTCTGCAGTGATTAGCAGGCCAAAGGAACACCCCGCCATCTAAATCTGTATTGATCAGCAGGCCAAAGGTCCAACTCGCCACCTAAACCCTGCGGTGGTCAGCAGGCCTAAGAAACACCCCGCCGTCTAAACCCCGCCGCGATCAGCAGGCCAAAGGAACAACCCATTTAAACCCTGCAGTGATCGGCAGGCCAAAGGAACACCCCTTCATCTAAACCCTGCAGGGATCAGCAGGCAACAGGTTCAATCCCGTCGTCTAAACCCTAGTGATCAGCAGACCCAAGGTCCACTCCCGCTACCTAAACCCTGCGGTGATCAGCAGGGCAAAGGTCCATTCCCGCTATCTGAACCCTGCAGTGATCAGCAGGCCATATGTTCAACCGCATCGTCTAAATCCTGCAGTGATTAGCAGGCCGAAAGTCTACCCCCTCCGTCTAAACCCTGCAGTGATCAGCGTGCCGAACGTCCGCTGCCGTCTAAATCCTGCAGCGATCAGCGTGTCAAACGTCCACACCCCCCCCCCCCCCCCCCCCCGTCGCATCGGCCGTTCGGTGAAGTGGCCGAGCCATGCGGTCCAGCGTCCGTCCCAGCCACGCCGGCGGCCCGTCCGGGGCGAGCGGTGCACGCTCTTCCTCACTGGTACAGGCCAGCGTGCTCGCCGCCAGCCTCGCCTTTGGTGGACGGCGGAGCGCACCGCCGACCGCCGTATGTGCTTACCACTGCACTCCTCAAAACCGGCCGCGCCGACCCACAGATCTGGCGACTGGCCAGCGGCTCTCAAACTCCACGTCTACGCCTGATGTATATTGCATCCCCTGACACGGGACGCGCAGTGTACAGCTGCGCGCCGCGCCTGGCGTTGTCCCAATCACGGGTTAACATCTACACGTGACTACGGCTCACAGGGCGTGCCCGTGGGAGGAGAGTGGCACCGGCCGGCTGGCAGACGGTCAAGACGACACTAAATTTAGCATCCCGGGTCACGGCTTCAACGGCGACGCTATCGATCCGTTACATCCCTGAAAGAGAAAAAATGTTATGTAACAAAGCATTACGTAACGAGAGGAAAAGTCTAGCAGATTCCAGAAGCCGAGAGGTTTCGCTGAAGCCGGAACATTACACAATATCATGCTTTCATCACACGAACACGCTGCGGACAGCGGCCATGAGTTACACAGCTGGGGAACACTTCAAATCAATCTGGATGACAACTCGGTCTGTCCCGTGATTATCGCGTGTCAACACACGGCGTGCATATAAAACGTGCCCTCCAAAAGAGGCTAGTGATTTGAAAACAACCGGAGTCTGGATTGCACATATACGCCTTAATTTCGGCACTCAAGACAACGAAGATCATAAAATTATCTTAAGAGACCAGCTCATTAAGTGGGAAGTAAAGTTGTACTTCGTTCCGAAATACAATTAATCGTAATGTACGAAACGAACAGCGCACGCTAACAAAACGCCAACGGACTAGGTCTGTTTGAACGGGAACAAGTCAATTTGAACATCATCATCGTTAATGTCAGTCATCAGCAATCATCTTGGTTTAGCTGCCACACAAAGCCGCCGCCCGCCGCCAGTGGCCGCCCTCACTGTTGGACGCCTTGCACTGGCGCAAGGCCTCGTTGAAGCCCTCGCAGAGCGAAATGTCCGACTGGTTCTGGGCGCACTGCAGGAACTGCTTCACCTCCCAGGCGCAGGGCCCGGTCGGCTCGCTCGGCCCGCCGCCCGACATGCCCTGCGAGGGGTAGAGCGGTGCAGGAGCGGCCGGCGCCGGCGCCGGCGCCGCCTCGGCCGGCGCCGCGCCGCCACCGCCGCCGCCGCCGGTCAGCGCGTGACCGAGAACGTGGCCGACGGTGGAGCCGATGGCCACGCCGCCGGCGGTGGCCGCCATCTGGCCCATGAGGCCGGGCCCCTGCGAGGGCGCCGCCATCGGCGCCGGCGGATGGGCAGCCGGAGCGGCGGCCGGCACCGAGCTGGGAACGAGGGCGGCAGTCGTTAGGCGCGGTCGAGGCCAGAGGAGCGCACGTTCTAGGTACGCAATCGCGGTACCCAAGTTGATAAATATGGCGTCACAGGTAACCTTAATTGCCTTTACAATACCTTACAACCTTTTTAAAACCTTACAACAGTGTATAAGTTCTGCACTCAAATATTAGTGCTACGCAGTTGTGAGTGCCGTCATCGACGGCGACCTAGGACGGCGTTTGGCAGCGAAGAACAAGCCTGTGAGGATGGGGAAACAAGAAACCATATATGACCAGCGAAATGGAGCGAGGAAACAAAAGGGAGAACAATGACAGGGGATGACAGACAGAACAATGTGACAGCCCCATTCCGCGTGCTAGAGAACTGATGGCTGTGTTCAGTCACACTAAACGAACCAGACACAGAAGACGTACGCCACACGTACGTGCAACCGTCAGGTAAGGATGCTTTCCGCGAACCGCGGACAGACGAGTCCAAACAGTGCCCCTCTCCAGCAGACAGCACGACAAAGAATCATCCAACGCAGGCACGTTGAGCACGACAGATAATCATCCAACGCAGGCACATTGGTCCAACAGACGTGACCCTCTGACTGCACCGCCGGCCATGTCATGCTTACACCTGCACTTGCCGGGAATCGACCAGCACCGGACTTCTTCTCAACAAGTGTCCTCCTATCTCGACACACTCGCGCGATGGCGGTGTGCGGCGATGACGTGGCTGAGCGCGTCATGCGCCGGTCTGAGCTCACCTGTGAGCCGGGGCCGGAGCCGGAGCCGGAGCCGGCCGAGGAGGCGGCGCGGCGGCCCGGGGCGGTGCCCGAGGCGCCGGGGCAGCAGCACGACCACGACGAGGCATTTTCTGCAAAGGAAAGACTGCAATCAGTAGTCAGTCAGCACAAGGTTTGGCAGTAGGGCTACTACTGCCATTTTTTTTTGGGGGGGGGGCAGGGGATATCAGGTTAGAACTAAGCAGGAACTTCATTATTTTGTGTAAAGTAAGTGATGGTAATTTGCAATTATGTCTGATCATATACCACACAGTGCCACTTCCAATGATTTGTACTTCACATTGCTGATAGCTACATGGAGTAAAGGGTAATAATATCCTTGCATATACTTGGTCTAATGCATGGGTTTCCTTTATTGGTAACCACTGCTATCAATGGTTGCAAAAGAATTGGTTTGTAAAAATTGTTGTAGTCAGTCTACCCCATTTGGGAAATTCATTCGATGCTCAAATTGACTCAACAAGCCTCTGGTCTGACTTGTTATAACAGTAGCCTAATGTGTTACCACCAGCCTAGTATTACTGATGTTAAGTACTTTTACCACATGAACTGAGTTTATAATGTGCATGTATGTACAATATATATATATATATATATATATATATATATATATATATATATACATATGATATGCCAGAATAAGCTCTCAATCAGAAATAAAATAAAATGCTATAGACATGAATACATCTGGATGCATAGTAACTGCAGTTCATCCCACCATAATTGAGAAAAAATTTTGAATAACTTCATACCCAATTCTGGCCTAATATGCAACCTTCTAACTTCTAACTTCATACCCAATTATAAGGTCAAAGTACAGCAAAGGTCTAAATGCATCAGGGTCAATGCCCCATAGTGTTACATAACAGACCACCAGATTAAGGCTAGCAAATCACTACAATAATGGAACACTTTGCACTTTGTACTACATGAGCTTTACTTTCTTCAAAGGCTTACACATAAAATCACCTGAATTGAAAGTAAATCCATCATCAACTTTTCACAAATAGATATAACAAGCACAATATTAGTTAACACAAAACCAAATACTGCCTAATCAATTGATGTCCAATATCAGCAACAAACTTTGACACTTGCTGACAATTGTTTTATCTTCCCAGCTGTCATCATGATATGCAGCTACATATCACACTCAGGATGACTGTGCATAAATTGACTCCAGTCTGCACCATATGCATGGTTTCACATGCACAGCATATCCCAAGAAAATGAATGCATAGTGAGGTACTCTTGCACTCTGAGATGCAAGACAACAGAGTTTAGGCCTTGGGCTGCAAACTGAGGGGATTAAGGGATTGATTTGTGCATCAACTTACCCTGACCATGCATGAACCATCACATCCATGACCCATGTCCTTTCAATGAAATCACTGCATTCATTCCACATCAAACCCCAATACTCTACCGCCAAGAATCAGAGCACACATTACGACCCTTATGGTGATATGAACACGCCGTGAGGAAGTCACAGAACTGATTTACACACTGGCACCAATGCTCATGAACGTTTTTTTTCTCGCATACCTCCCTTACCACAAAAACAGGAACTCCGAAACGTCAGGTGTATTTTCAGTCACGCACACTTCCTGAACACAATGCGGAGGCGGGGATGCAAGAATCGTTTGTGGGCTTTTACCACTGAGCTAGTATTAATTACCAACTCTATTCACGAGCGCACCTCTCAACTGCCAACCACCGCGTGTCACCCTTTGCCACCACCAATGCGACTACAACCACGAACACGCACAAAAACGGAAACGCGTCGCACTCGTCCCTCCTGCGCAGTAAGCCCCGCAGAGAAAATTCTAGACGGAGTCGGTGCACACTAATCTACTGCTGTCTATCTGAACATCATAAAAAGACCAAATGTGGTAGATTGTACAATATTTCTGCTATTGAGTGCACCATTAGTGCTTGTATAAGGATTTTTGAATTTAAAATCCTTCAAAATATAAAACTAAGTCAAGCTCTATCTCACATATTGGCCTACCGTTTCGCACAACACCGGGAAGGCAAAAAGTCAAAGGCATGCTCATGCCCGACATTCGTGAAAGAATTAATTGAGCCAAATTGATGTAGCAAAATGCTTGGATTCGAAGAGTTTCATTATTTTGTATTCTATCCCGGAGATCCATTTTGCTACCGCTTGTGGTGTTCCTTTGCTGCCCCGACACACAGGTTTTCGATGCCTGTCTCCGCTCATTACCTCACACTTTGAGTAATGAAGGGGAAAATGCCTCTTATCATGTAAAATTTTGTAGCTGAGATCTATGGTTTCTTGCCATCAAGCGTATTTTTTAGCTGGATAAAACTGTAAGTCATCTCTTTAAAAGTTATCCTTAAAAGTTGTCTTTTAAAGTAAAGCTGGCAAAAATATGATTTAGCTGCAGCCACCCATAGTATTTATGCCCTATAATATGACGCCTTTGTTCCAAAAGCGGTCTTCTCATGGTCTCAAATGGCATCGTTAAGTAGCCTTGGTCTCAGTTGGCGTCGTCTCGTGAGTGATTCTGCGGTGGGACCCGCGAAGCTGCGGTGGTGTTTTCCGTAGGGTCAGGGAGGTGAAAGGTATGGTGCTGGAGCGGTGGTGAAGAGGGTGGGGCCACTTAAGGCGTGAGCCCATGTTTCTGGGAATTATGATGCTTTAATGGTCAGTCTGCAAACTATGGTGAACATGCTGATGAGATGTTTGGATTGCAGAAAGTTCTCATTCAAATAGGAAGGTAGACTGCCGAGTTCGGGGCAATTTTTCAACCGCAAATACATCTTCCTGAGCAGTCCAGTTTAGCAATTTCTGTCACTATTTTTGATAAACTGCCCCAAATTGGAGATTGTTGCCCACCTCTGCCTCAACAGGATCTTGTCAAGATCTGCGATCGGCTGTGGGACTGTTGCAAAAGTAGTGTTAGCCAGAAATATTCTCGAAACTTTTTTCAAGCCAAAATAAGTTGAGAATTCAGTGCTGTTGGTCCAGGCTGAGTTAAGGGCATGTTTGCACCAGGCTTAATGTGCTGATGTAGCATAAGCTTCCTGCACATTGGACGGATTTTCTGCAGGCTGGGCAATATGCAAACTGACATGTGGCGAACCACTCAGTGACCATCATGTTTTGTGCTGTAATAGCACTGCATGGGGTCTTTTAAATACAAAAACATTTTTACCCACTCATGGGTAATGCTGTACCAGTCATGGTATACATCGCTACCTCATGTTAAAAAAGAGCATTGTACATCAATCATCCTTTTAAGGCAGGACATATTGTAATTAATGGTAAAACAGGTCATCAAAACTCTTACCTGGCAACTTAAATAACTATGACAGTGAACATCTGAGCACCACAAACATGCAGCAACTGGGACCCTGGTGCCATTGCTTCACCTGACCACAACAATTCTGCTGCCCATCGAGAACCATAAAAATGTATAGGGACAAGGTAACCAGAATTCAATGAAATATGTTTCTTGGGTATCCAAGCAGTCTTCCACACTGTTTGTAGATTGGTTGAAGTGCTGGGTAAATATGACGTCTTTGGGTGGGGAATGAAAAGCTGTGTTGTACAAGCCTCTAAACTAGATAGGTATCCCTAACAGAAGAGAACAGGGGTGATCATTGGCAGATCAGGCTGAGAAACTGTTTGCCATGCCATTGGGATGACCTGCTGAGTGTTATCCTGTTTCTGCCTCCTGCACCTTATGCATGATATGCACAATATGCATTTGTGCACTTAATGAATGCACTTACCTGCACTGGGGACACACTGATCTGACCCAGTTTGATCAAACTGTCCAAACTGGGGGCTGATCTATCTTGGCACACACCCTGCCTGAGAGTGCAGGAAGCAGTGTCATGCAATTTATGCAATATGACTGGCCTGGTTATTTGGCACAGCACTATTTCACCCTGATATGTTGAGTGTGTGATCTGAAGAATGTCATTTCCTTGAAATGCAGCATAGTGTGTAAGTGTAGCACATTGAACAGGCTATTAGGAGATCCTTGTCACATTTACCATGCTGAGAAGATGACATCCTTGCATGTTTGCATAGGCATGGATTTGAAAATAATTGAGTACAAGGATTTCAAGTAATGAAAAAGTCATCAGGTGCAGTCTTCAGAGCCAGCTGAGTACTTCCTGTTAACAAGCATTCATCTGAGTGCTTGACCAAAATCCCCTGAAGGTGATATGAAAGCTAGTACACCAAAAGACTGTTATGAACCAGGCTTTGGGTTACAGCAGCATAATATGCTCCCTTCTGACAGGGATGATGAAGAGTTCCTGGAAAGTGGATGGGTAACTGGGCTCGGCTATGGAGGATGCCGTTTGTGTCGCAAGAACCCCGCGAGTGCTCCAGCCATTATTGTGGCAGTGCAGAAGGAAAGGCAATGGCAGATCATGGGTAGCCCGGCGCTTAGGCACGGCGATCGGCGCGAGGGGAGCTTTAAACGCGTGACGGGCCGCCGGTTCGCGGATCGCTGCCCTGTCTGCGGCTGGACCAGGATTGCCTGGTGGTTGGGCCGGCCGCCTTTGGGCGCTGGCTGGCCCGTGAACATCCGTCCATTCGGCGCGGTGGACCGCCTGGAGTCGCAGCCACTTCACCCACGGGCCGCTGCGACGGCCGCGCGCTGTACGCGCTGTAGACGCGTAGCGCTGCCCGCTACTGGCAATCGCCGCGCGTGGCTGCGTCGGCCGGGCGCGTTGTCTGCGGGTTGCGGTGCCTGGAGTCCCAGACTGGTAGACCGATGTCTGGTGGTCGCAGCTGCGTGGGGCTCCGGCCACCGCGCGGTGCCCTTGAGCCTGGGCGCCACCCACACGGGCCTCATACTTGGTCCGCCGAATTTGCCACGCCATAGCGGCAGGTTGGGGGAGGGGGGGGGGGGGGGGGCGGGTGAGGATGGAAGGGGAGAGACGCGGGCCGCGTGGAAACCCACATGCTGTTTTCAGCACATATTGCAAGCACCAACTGAAGATGCTGTCTGGTTTTAGAACAGTTTTCCGAGTTTTGGGACCATTACATGGGTGGGAAACACAACATTCTGATGCAAGCTGTTCTAAATTAATTTTCGAATGGTGCAACGCGGTTGATACTCGAACATGTGCGTTTTTTATCACGTTTTCTAATCATTTTGTTAAACCTATGTGATAAACGCCTTCAGTTGTTTGCATCATTGTTTTAAATGCCCATCGGAAGGGAATTGGGCCTGACATCTCACGTCATCACATTAAGATACTTATTTTCGACTCTAGTGTGTTAACTCATTTCCAATGGCCAACTCTCACTTATATTGTGTGTCCGTTTGAGTATTTACGTATTAAAGACGCCATTAGGCGGGAGATGTGAGAAATATGAAACTGTGTTCCCTTAGTGATCTTTAAAACCCTGCCCGTAATATGTACTTTAACGCTGAAATAGTCAATCACTGCCTGTAAACTTGACTCCCCCGACCCCCAAATTCCCCTTCTGAAAGACTTGTGAATTGGCCGTGCTGTCCAATCCATCATCAAAACATGGCGTGTTCGGCTGCGGTCTTGTTTCTCAGGATCCGGTTTTGGGGTCGTCATTCGGGTTCTCGGTGCCAGTGTTATGTAAGGTGCAGTTATTAGTGGAAACCAGCGAAGCAAGCGTACGACTGTGCGTGGGTCCGTTTACAGCACGCATACACAGGTGACAAGCAAGGCGGATGGCTGAGTGACGCCTAGATACTCAAAGACTCCGATGTGCGCATTGAGCCAGCCTTTTCAGTTCCCGGAATTACATGTATAATCGATGGTCCTCTGCGTACATCACCTCAGTTACCCCTATCAACAAGCCTGGGAGGCTGGTTAAACAAACCTGCCAGCCTCGTCACTTTGACACACTTGAATTATGATGTATGTTGATAAGTCATCATGCGTAAACTTGATAGAGCCGATCTTGACCTTACCTTCACGTTTCACCTTGCAGGCCGATGAACGAGCCTTCAGAGTGAGGAAGAGCTCAGGAAATTTTAGGGCGCCACTGACTGTCTCGCCTGCACGAGGCCCGCCTTTGCGTGTCAGTTTGCTGAGGTTTAAAGCATTCTTCCCTGGGTCCACGGCTTTAAATAGTCCTCCTTAGGTGCGCGGCTTTGCCGGTTGGACAGTGGTCTGCAATAACATGCTGCATGCTATGTGCCCAGTTTGTGGGACGGTGTGCTACTGACAGCAGGATGACAGCAAGCTGGCTGTTTTGATGGTTATTTCATACCGGTGCATGTCTGCTGAACACCATCTAATTTCGAATTTTCCGGGTTCCAAGGCATTTCGGTTTGTTGCTTGCCATCCACCACCATAAACTCAATGAAAAATCTGTGGTAACTGGGTTCCCGAGTCCCTGCCCTTCCCCCTCCCGCCCCCCCCCCCCCCCCCCAGCGTTATAGCGCAGCAGTTCCAGCGCCTGTGCTGGAGTCATTTGCCATTAGACGTCCCTCGCCTCTGTATTCCGAGCTGTTCATACTGAATACCCCAAAGCAGGTATGTCATTAAGGTAACGACTGCCGAACGCCGTGTCGCGTGGTGTTATATACGGCTTATACGGCATTACCATACACACGGCACCTGAATAGGGATGTGGTGTGTGGGCACCTGAGCCAGGGGTGCCGGGTGGTGTGTGTGTGTGGTGATGCCGTATGTTGCGATCCCGCACTATACGTCTGCTGTATTTCACAGACCCGTAGCGCTTCACTATGCCGCGCATCGATACAGACGTGAAGCTGGACTTCAAAGATGTTCTG